CGATCGAATAATAATAATAATAATAAAAACAACATCACGACCGTCGTGTACCGTTTATGAAAAATGTACAATAAACCTCATTTTAAAGAGTCGTTCAGTATATCCGCCCCTCTATCCACAACGTGTACATAACACGGATTGTTGTGAATTTGTGAATTTGATCCGCTAAAAACACAAAATAAAATATACTCGAAATCCCCTAAAAAAAAAAAAAAAAACAAAACAAAACATATTAAGATTTCTGGTAGAAATGTTATTGATAGACAGAAAAAAAATACTCGTTAATGGGTGTGTGCAACTATTATAGGGGATAAGTGAGGAATATAGAAAATACAAAGTTATTTGATTTATATCTGTAAGCGAATCGTTGTTTATAAAATACGATTCTGAGTGGAGTTCGCGTAAACGTATTTTGAAATCACGTGACTTTTACAATAGTTTTAACAAAATTTTAGTTTTAAAGATTACAAAAAAAAACTATCCGAATCAAGCTCAGTTATTTATTATAAAGTACAACTTCCAATGAATCTCGTGTTATATTTTCAAGTATTTGAATCGGCCAAAACAAGATGATTAATCACATAAAACCAAATGATAACTAAAATATTTGAAAATACAAAACGCCTATTAATAGTTCAAAAGTCGTCAGAAATTCTTTCTTGGTGAGGGAACCGGCAATATTTTGCATTATAAAATATCGACATTCCGTTCGATTAATCTGCGTCGGAAATTCGTAAGCCGCGCAGTTTTGCAAACGTTGTGATTCTCTTTTGATTAGCATATTTATTTGAAATATATAAATAAGGGAAAATTCAACTATACCTGTAGTAAGTGACATTCGGCTAACCTTGACGTTTGCATTGTACCGTTTTGAATATTAAAATTAATATAATTTTTGAAATATCGCGAAAGAACGGGCATGAAAAAAACAACAACAAAAAAAAAAAAAACACTTCAAAAACGTAGGTACCGTAAATTCGAAAGCAATCCGTGCGGAATATGTCGTTCGCCTTTACGTAGGTACCTAATCTGGTGAAACAGGAGGAAAATTATTTATTTATTTATTTATTATTGTCTCGTTAGCAAAAGTCCTGTTACTGTTTGCGTTGTTTTATTATCGTTGAAATCACGGTGAAACAAATATAGCAAAAAATAAAAGTCTATAATATAACCGATGGGTGTGGCACTATTGTAGGTAGAAAGTTGGGAATGTCAGGAAAGTAATATGATTTATATTGGTAAACAATAATGAACCGGAAGACCTTCGGTAAAAAACAAACATCAGAAAAATGTAAAATAATGAAATTGTCAATATCGTACATTTGTCCGGTTTTATTAAACGAGTTTTCCCCCGGTTTTACGAATATAATGAAAATTTGAGGGAAATAATAAAAAAAAAAAAAAAAAAAATGATTTTATCGATGCACCAAAACGTTGTAAAAAAAGGTCTCTTGTTTTTTTTTTCTTTTGATAAGAGCGAAATATACGGTAGAAAAATTGTTTACAGACACACGCGAAAAGTAAACGAAATTAAATACGCACCATAGTAAAAAATTACAGATCTCATGTTATTATTTTTGTGGTCCACTCGTTAAGTATAACAATACTATCGAACGAAATCGTTTTAATATGCGTTTCGCTCTGATATTGTTGATTTGTTATTGTCGTTTTGATTTTCGGCTGGAATATTATTACGAACGTTGAATATATTGAATAACTAACGATAAACAAATAGCAATCAACATTATCGATACCGAAACGTGTATAATATTCAGTAAGTACATGACGGGCAACGACGAACAGAAGGCTACACAGGCTCCGACGTCATCGGGATGAACGGATTCATTAAAAACAAAAATCAATTTTGCCGGGTAAATCAGGTTAGCCCGCAGAACTAACCGTATCGCGTTTTCTTTTTTTCTTCTACCGGCATATCCGGGGAACGGTAAAGATATTTACTTTTAAGTATTTATAAATACTAGGCACCGGAAGCTAAAATATATAATTTTTCGTAGTGCACACATTTTATCAATTCATACTATCACAAGTATTATCAACATCCCTCTACCCGGAATTATGGGGGGGGGGGGAATTTTTGATCCACACGTCATCGAAAAACTCACCACATGCAAATTAATCTAAATTTACATTTTCCTCGATAATGTATACTATCATATAAGGACATATAGACCATTTTTTTGTTTTTGTTTTTTTTTTAATTTTTAAAGACGGGATTCTAAACTATTATAGTACCTGCTTTAAAAAACGTTGTTTTAGATGTTTTCAGAGGAACTAAATTAGTATATTTATTTGTTTTTTTTTTTTTTTTTTTTTTATAAATTAACTCAAAACAATTTTAAAAAATACATAAATAATGCAATCTACTCGTGAATATAATAAATAATAACTAAATACACGAACAGTTTTGACCCGGTTTTGATTGTTTAATAGTTTATTACCTACCTATGAATCAAGCATCGATAATAAAAGTACCATTAGCCTATTCTGTGACCTCATTATTTTTGAAATAATATGTGATAACTGTTAATGTTTTGCGACTCAACTTTTTTTTTACATGAAAATGTAATAAATATGCATTTTAGAATTTTTTTCGCCAATAAAATTTATTAAAAGAGTCAAAAAAAAAAAAATGTAGAATTACAAAATTGTACAAATGAATAATATAGCTGCTCTATATTTTTCGATTTCGTACTGCACACCTAACATTCCGCTTTGCACAAAGTGTGTCGTACCACACACAATTTTAGTACCTGCATTACGGTACGGACACTCAATACGAGATAAACTCAAATTAAAATGGTAATTAGTTATTTGCTCAAACGTTCTGCACCGTTCTCGTTATACCTATAATACATATTAAATATAGTGAATAATAGATAAATATCTAAATAAAAAAATTACATATTTATTTACGAGTATTGGCCATTTAAATAATTTTGTTTTTACGTTATTATTTTAATAATAACTATTATTTCAGACGAATAGCGGATTAAATTGCCTAGGTGACCGCTGTCGTGTACCGCAACAACCATTGGGCACGTTTATTAAATTCATAATAACAGTTAGTACAATTGTTGTGTACGGAAAATAATATTGCTCGTGATAATTGCAACGAAACCTGCGAATTTTCTAGCTGCCACATTTACTTCATCGCGTTTCGGTCCATTTCGAGAGTATTTGCATTCGATCGGCGATTATCGACGACGGACGCTTTAACACCGATCCCGGTCGAACTCGCTCACCGCGTATCACAATGTACCACCTCCGCCGGACACCTCGCGATGCACAATCGAATTCGTTGACAAAATATTCATACAAATGGACAGCGAAGATCATTGCACGCCTACGTCGCCCAATCCGCCCGCACAACCGTCGGCTTCCCGGTAGAACCGGGCATTTGACGGGCACTTTCGCTTTGTGTCTGCAACAAGCCAGTACCCGTTGGAAGCAATCGAGATGTTCAAACACGCTGAGTGCCCGAAAGATCGTAAGAAAGTAAAACGTTTTCAGGTAGGTTGGCTTCGGTACTTCGGAGCATACAATTGGCCTGTATTAGCTGCGACACTTAAACAGTAGAAACGCTTGAGCGTCCGTCAGCAAAAAAAGGCCAGAACGTCGACGTGCCGGAGGATGGATGAGGAATGTTCGCTCAATCCGACATTACCCCGACCGTCGTCCACCGGTCTGAGAATCGTTTGTAGGACGGAAACGTGGGCGAACCTGTCGTCTGAAGAATTAATCGACCGGTTATACCAGCCGATAGAGGACGACGAATTTGCTACGACTCGCCTGTAGTTTAATCATGACCTACCGTATGTATTTTATAAAATTATCTATGTTTTAGAATTTTTTTATCCTCGATTGTTATGATTATCCTAGGAAAGTTATATCGCATTTAAATAATCTTAGGAATAAGATAGAATTTCGGTGCTAAGAGAAGTGATAATCCTAGGATTATTGTACTGCGAGATGTGAAAATTTGCCTGTTACACCGGCCCGAATCCGGAAAACTTTCCGGAATCACGCACGACATAAGGTAACTTGATTAACTCTAATCTGGTTACATCGGCTATTCTCCAACATTGAAATACTCCCTGTCGTAAATTACTGTACTCCGTTCCAGCTCTCCCGTCTCTCCACCCTTCAGCACAGTTTTTGGAAATACAAACCTTTATGATCGCGCCGGAGACACTATCGATGACTTGGTGATTGAAACAATTAATATATATTCGAATGTAAGGGGATAAGGTAAGGTTAATTTTGCGACAATTAAGAAAAAAAAAAAGTCGTGGCGTTAACATTAAAATTGTACAATCCTGGTGACATAATAATTATTATTATGTGAAAAAGCACCTAAAATTATTTGCTTATAAATCTCCGTCCATTTTTTGCAGTTAAGAGCCAACCGGTTGGGTGACATGTTAGCGTCCAGCCAGATTTCGTCAAGCAGAACGTCCAACGGAACCTTTGATGCAGACGACAACAATGTCAGTAGCGGCTGCGATTCCAGTGACAACGAAGACGATAATAAATGCTCTAGAAAAAGAAAAATAGCAGAAAATGAACTAAATCCCAAAATAAAAAATATCCATTTTTACTTATTCGTTACACGATATGGATTTACAATTCACAAAGTTACACGGAAAGCATTGTCTTTGATCACTTGGAGAGAAATATGAATTTTGCAATGGAATCCGTGCCCTAATTAGATTGTATTGAACCCTACCTCAACGTTAGCAAAGTTTATGTCTGGTTCGATTTGCATCCATTCGGAAGGGAAACAGCTCGCTTCATCCAGGTCGGTTAGCATTATGGGTTAGTTATTAACCTCCAGCAGTGTACGATCATTGTTTTTGTAGTGGTCGTCTTTGAAATAGTTGCAGAATGGATCACCGGTGGCTGCGCTGTTGCCAGTTAATTCGCCGACCTCCATCTGGTTCAACTGGTCGATTAGGTTTTGGACGACGAGACATCCCACGTCACGTATTTGGTTGCCGCAGTACAAACGTTACGCGGACCGGTGGACGATAGTTATGGTGATGTTGACTTGGTCGAACATTCCTCGTCCTTTTCCGGCACGGTCCGAAGAACACGGGTCGTGGATCGGAGCGTAGAATCGTCGGATTTATTGCATTTGAGAACGACAACGCCTTAGTTAACGTAGTCGTCTTCGACGTCATTGGAATCGCAGCCCCTGTTGACACTGTTGTCTTTATCAGACGTTTCGTTGGACTTTTTGCTCGACAAACTCTGACTGGACGCCAACTTACTACCCAACCAAGGCAAAGTCTATGAAATCCCGTTGGGCATATATCCAGCCGGTAGGGTGACTGCATGTCATATCCAAGTCTGTTTACGATATGCTGTTGCCAGCAGTAATGCCGGTTAATTCGTCGTCCTCAATCAGCTAGCTTAACTGGTCGATTAATTCTTTAGATGACAGGTTCGTCCACGTTTCCGCCCTACAAACGTTTCTCAGCCCGGTGGACGACGGTCGGCGTGATGTCGATTTAAGCGCAAATTCCTCTTCATCCACCGGTACGTCGACGGATACGCGTTCTCGCCTTTTTGCTGGCGGACGCTCAAGCGTTTGTACAGCTCCGGTGTCGCCGCAAATGCAGACCAGTTGTATGCCCCGAAGCACCGAAGCCAACCTACCAGAACGTTTTACGTTCTTGCGGTCTTTCGGGCATTCAGCGTGTTTGAGCCCGATAGCTTGCAACAGGTACCGGCTTGTGTTGCAGACACAAAGCGAAAATGCCCGCCAAATGCCAGGTTCCACCGGGAAACCGACGGTTTTGCGGACGGATTGGGCGACGAAGGCGTGCAATGATCTCCGCTGTCGATTTGTATGAATACTTTGTCAATGGGTTCGATTGGGCGCCACGGGGTGACCGGCGACGGTCGATATGTTGTGATACGAGGTGAACGTGTTCGACCGGGATCGGTGTTAAAGTGTCCGTCATCGGTAATGCGTTCACCGTCGCCGATTCGCACTAAGTACTCCCAGAGTGGACCGAAACGCGATGAAGTAAATTTGACAACGAGAAAATGCTTAGGTTTCGTTGCAACAATTCTGGGCAATAGAATATTATTTTCTGCACATAACAATGGTACTAACTGTTATTATGAATTTAATAAACATGTCCCGATGATTGTTGCGCTATACCTGTGATAGTACGGTTTGATATAAAGTGTGCAGTATAATATTCCGTTTCGATTTCGAGTGGTTATTTCACTTACCTTTTTACACCGTTTTATGGTACGCCAGTCTTGACTTAAAACCTACCTCATAACAAAAATATATTACAGACATATTAAATAATAGTTATATTATTTTAGACGAAAATATAATTTAATATTTTTGCGCTATAAATGACAAGTCGGAAATACTTATATTAGTAGTTGGTAGAAATAATAAACTGCGCGATTACGACGCGATAATCGGACGTCAAATTTTGATATGATTGCCAGATAAGGTGGCGGTAGTCAGGAATCTCTGAAATAAAATATATAAATATAATATACATTAATTAATAATATACACATTATTATTATTGTTTTAAGTGAGAAAATTTAATTATATACAAATTGATGAAAGTTGATGAAAATGTCAATCAAATAATGTAATAATAATGTTTTATAAAACCAGGATATATTAATAAATTCGTTCTTTAGAAACAGAATATTGTTAAGATAAAGTTGTCTTAAAGAAAACAATAATTTTCAGATTTTTAATAATAGTAGTATAGGTCGGCTAAAATGATCTATCATACCAATGTGGGTCAATCGAATAAACACTTTACCAATCCAATGCTCAATAATCTCGAATATATAGATATTCATTTTGGTGCGAATTACAAACTTATTTTGGACAGCTCGATTATCTAAAAGGTACCTGCTTGTTGCAGATACAAAACGAAAATACCCGCAAAATGCAAAAGTAAAAAACGTTTATTAATTTTTTTTGTTTTCTTTTAGTGTTTATTGAAATTCTTGAATCTTTTGTTGAAACCATGTTTCTAAAATATCCACACCTTTCCGACTATATTTTTCGAATTCCATGCTTCTCTCGTGCCGTTTAGGCAAATATGTTTTGAAACGCCGTAGTTTATACGACTTTTGTCAAAATTTCAACTTAAAACATTTAAAAAAAACGCGTTTTTTTCCCACTAATAGTTAAAACGTATTAACGAAACATTATTCAATTTTAAGCATTTCTGTTCGGCCTGTGAGTGCCTATATAAATCGCCAAAACATCGTCACAGTATGTTGGTACTTTAGAGAGGTTATTTTTTTGATTTTCCCAATATTTTTCCCAACAAATGTGAAAAACCGAAAAAATCGGTACAACATTAAATAACTTTAATTAAAAAAAATATATAAGGCCTTATTAATTATTTCACTATTCACTATATATTGTTGACAAAGCATCATTAATAACTAAACTCCGTTCAGAATCATTTTTTCGTAAGTAATGGTTTATCGTTTATCGCTGCTTACAGATTTACATTAAATTCCCGTCTATATCCTACCTTCCCAACTTCCCATCTACACCAGTGGCTGCACCCGTCCACATTATCTTACCTTTTTCAACACAATTCTAAGTTAGGATCTGTAAAGCTAACTGTCCAGCTGTGTCGTGATTGTGTATGAAGCAACGGCGTAGTATAAAGAATCGAGTTCGGTTAACAATATTCCGAAAGGACTGCTGGGTAGAGAAGTTATAACGGTCGCATTATACTATTATTATACTTATATATAATACGTTTTCCAATATTTTAAGTGCTCGTAAAAGAAAAATTATTACGAGTAAGGAATTGAAAATTTATTGAATACACGCGTCTAGTAAATGCGTATATCCACGACATTATATTATAGCTACGTTTTTGTTTGAATTGCGTGGACCCTGAAAAAAATAAATTCTATTTAATGTTAGCGTTTATACGGGGATATTAATCATTGTTATATCAGATAAGCAATCGTGGTATTTTTTTTTATTATTATTCTTTGACCCTGTTCAGATGTTAAATCTCTCATAATATTATTAAATACAATGTTGGAAATAAAACGCCAATGAAGATCCTCTATTCGTTAATACGCTAAATATTTTTTAAAAAATCGGACATAATTTGCACGATGGCGATGACTGGTGTAGATGAGAAGATAAATGCGAAATTCAATATATATTTGTACAACTATATACGATTTGAAAATAATAAATATCGTACATTTTCCCGGTTATTTCCCATTTATTATGAAAACTCTTGAGAAAATCAAATGACTTTCTAAAAAAAAAAAAACACGTGAAACAGAACTCTGTCAATCGAATTTTCCCTTCGCTGACTTGTTACCGTTACTATAATTCGTTTTTTTTTTTTTTTTTATAATGATAAGAGATTGATTAAAAAAAAAAATACTAAAATAGGTAAAGTATTTGCCGACATTTTTGACAACATATAAGCGGTCGGAGGTTGGAAGTTCAGATCTTCTAAAGGCACATCCTTGACAACAATTTTATTTATACGTACATATTTGAACCAAGTTAATTACTTAAATTTTCTCACGAGTCTGTATAGGGGAAATTTAAATCCTGTGAAAACATGAAATTTGAGCATACAAGTGGTTGGTGAGAGGGTTTAAAATTGAAACCGCCAAAGGATACATCCTCGATACTTAGACCATGCATATACAAAATCGCATCTCCTGGATTTATTTGAAGGGCCTGTAAGGATGTACAAATGTAAAATTCACTTTATTCCTCGCAACAACACGGTGTAGTTCATATTGCAATTCAACCAAAATGTTGACACTTTAACCTGCGTTAAAAAACGTTTTCCTTCAGTAGCGTACTTCCTTAGCATCCGGCTCATGTCGTAGTTCTCAATTGTTATCGCCAATGTCGACGTGTTAGCCAATGAGAAGCGTGGAACTACGATAGTAGGCGAAGTGAATACATTTTCGCAAATGGTACACTTTAAGAAAAACTATTTTTTCACGTAGAGTAGTTAAAAATGAATGCGAGTCTCGGCAATAACGGCACACGCTGTCGAATGTGAAACGGCCGGAGTTGCAAAGGCGGCTATTTTTGAATTTGTTATCAGAATAAAATACCAATACGCAATCGATTATTATTATTTTTTATAAGCCGCGAGAAGAACGCGCTCTTTACGCCTCCTCCCCTTTGTAATTACGCCACCGATGACGTCCACAGTTTCAACCGCACCGTCGAATAACCCAATCGCAAAGGCGACATTTAAAAATCCCGCAGAAAATATCGGGGAAATATCGTATTGTTTTTGATCGCGTTTTCCAACCGCGATATTGACATTTTCCGTTAAACTGTTTTCGCGCCGCGCGCGTCTTTGCTCCCCCCGACCCCGTAGGACGCGCGCGGTTCCCCGACGGAAGCGTACGATCGACCACGTTAACCGAATAAACAACAAGACAAACATCCCGCGACCGCGGTCTGAGAATTCGTATACAAAACGCCCCGGCAACTAAAGGCCGCCGGGGCTGCCGGTTTTATTTTTTTTCGACGACTGTGTATTATTATTATTATTATTATTATTCTTATTATTATACGGAACCGTATACGCTCGGGCTCTTTATATTTATGCATTTCCGGGGCGTCGCGGCGGTCCGCCTCTAAGCTCACGCTGCACTATACTCGCACGGCGTTTAAAATACCCGCGGTTATTTGTTCGCGCGTTCGAATCGCGTTTCTCGTGCACCGCCCGCGCGCAATATTTTAATAATAATATGTACGCCGTCACACAACAAACCGACCAGATGACCCAACCTCCGCGCGTGGGATACGGTACGTTTTTCGTATTTTTTTTTTTTTATTTTTTTTATCAAGAGCGCATTCGCGAAACGTCGGACCCAAACGCAGCGCTGCGGAAGACCGGTGTATTGGTAACCAAACCGGCACCTATTGGTTGGCGGCTTGAACTTATTACTTCGATGACGCATTAAAACCGTTCAACACCCTTCCGCCCGTCCACTTTACTTTTTATATCGGCACAAAATACACAAAGCTCAGCACATTAAAATTAATATAAACAATTATCTGCTACTCAACCATAAACATCAACAAACAACACCTGCCCACATTTTTTTGTGACGCAGTTGCGTAAATTTAACCCCGTTCACGCCGCCACTGCGAACGATGTACCCATAATTATAATACACAATTGCAATAAAATTGCTATAGGCGTGCGCACGAAAGGTGGACAGGGTGGTTTTCAGCTGTCCTTCCCCCCCCCCCGTAGGCTAATTTTTTTTACTACATTTTAGATTCTGAATGGAACGAAGAAGCTTATGGTTTTATAAAGATGTTTATTTATTTTCTTTTCTGTGGACAACTTTTATACCAGCATTTTACTCCATTTTGCTCCAACTTTTAATGATAGAAATTTTTCTGACAGGAAATTTCACAATGTGATCAAACGGGAAAAATCATAGGAAAATCGGAAAAAACGTAGGGAAACCGGGGAAATCATTACTAACAGGCATACATTAAATTGTCTATAACAGTGCCTGCACCCGTCCCCATTATCCTAGCACGTATTTTGTTATTTCAGATTTATTTTTTTTTTTCTGGCAGAAATACGATTCAGAACGGTTATTATCGTCGATACCTTTTTAAAACCCTTGTGACTATTACGATTGAGAATGCTCGTTTTTTATGATTCTATGCAACGTTGTCAAATATGTGGTAATCTGAAAAATCAAATATGTCAACCAATATATTTCTTGTATTTTAATCGAGTTTAATGATTACCTATTATTGTTCCAGATGGCATATTCCCTAATGAATCCGTCAATGATCATAATCTATATAAATGCAACGATAACGATAATTGTTCACGATGAATAATCAAAATATACGAATAGTGCATTACTCAGTACACGGTTTCCCGTATTATGCGTTTTATGTGCGAAATATTTTACGTTGGTACTTAAATAAAATGAAAAATGACCAGGACTTATAAGTCTTTGAACGTGTGGAAATTGAATTGTTTTAAACTCTCACAAATACCGTTTTATTAAACATTTTGCATAAGCTTTTCATAATTTATTCATGAGTTTTGATTTGAATATAATTCGGCAACGTTGCACATAATTTCGTTTTGAATAGTTTTGTTTTCTTTTTGGGTCAGCGGCTATTTCATTGTTCCATTTCGAGCGTTTTCAATCGTACGCTAAAAAAGGTCGAACGTTCTCAATCGTATTGTAGTCGTTTTTTTTTTAACAGTGGTGTTGCGCATTTCGATATAGAAACGCCCGTGAATGTACAGTGACGACAGTAAATCTTAACAACTAACGAAAATATATGACGTTTTCACACGGTGAATCATTATCACTCTCGTGATAGTCCATGATTGGAATTCAGATGTTTTAAGCATTCCGTTTGTTTTTTTTCCATCGATAAAATATGAAGCAACGTCATTTATACATTTGTTTAATAGGTACTATGTCGGATTTGTAAAAGACATTTTTTTACTTTTTAGCCATTTTTAATTTTTTTTTAATGCTTTTCTGTCTCTCTTTCGCTTTTAAACTCTTTTCTCATAGTTATAATTGATAACAATAATCAAAGTTTACATTACTAATGCGTGTTATCTTTAGGACTTTGCTTTACTAGATGAATTACGTTCAGTGCTTTTTTAAATATTTTATCGAGCTACAATAACTCTATTCGTGGTACAGTAACCATCACGATAGTGAATTTGGCAATTGTCGAGACAGTGATTTACTATATCGTCGTGTGTGACCAGGCTTAAACGACTGCAAGTATGCAGGTTTTTGTTAGTTTTCTTTAGAATTTCATCGAGATATCCGTTCCGGTGACGGCGACGCAGTCATTATGCGGATATATCTACGTCATCACGTTGTAGATTGCGGTTTTTTTTTTAAAAAAAAAAAAAACAATAAAACAAATGAAAGCGAAACTCTGCGGTACAGTTGCAGCATCAGCTTGTTGAAAACTGCGAATGTTATTTTCGGTTTTATTTTTTTAGAGTTTTTCTTAAATCGCAACGTACCCACCCACTTAAACCAACTAACCGACGAACGCGAATACAATCCAACCGGCCGCGGTCTTTTTATATCCGGACGCCACGTCTATTATATAGCAGAAAAAAAAAGAAAAAAAAACAAACGCGACTATTGTGTTGGATTCACGTTGATTTATTTGTATCCTTTCTTGATTGGTCGGCAGTGTGTATATATATATTGTACGTATACAGTAGTATATTATTTTTACAAAGGGTGCGTGTCGTCGATACTCGGACCGATATTTCGGGGGATTTCACGTGCGGTGTTATAACGGACGCACTTGTCCGTATAAATCTGCACGTCTTATCCGAACAAAACAGAAATAATTATATTTGTTTCCAGGAGTGTATATAGGTGCGCTAAAAAACGGCCAAATAAGAAAACCAATCGGGATTTTTTTTTTTTACATTTTTTCTTTTGTCCGCCGCCTGTCTTGTACCTATAATACTTAAACCTTCGTGTAAAAGTCTTATGGCATAAATAGAATCTCCGAATACTGTCTCGTTATTAATATTATTATTATTGCGCAAGAGCCGTATGACCCTTCGGAAGTAATAATTGAAAAGCTCGCGCGCGCTTTATCGTTTCGTATACTACTTGTAAAGTAAAGTGAAGAAAAATATTTATTTAAATCTGAAAAATGAACTTAATTGAACCGTTGAACGATCTTATAATTATAACAATAATATTTCAGATTTTACATTTAATTCATATACCGAATAAATATACCGATGGAAATGAAAATGTTTTTAAAAAGTCATTCGGCCAAAATATAGTAAATATTTTTTTTTTTTTTNTAAATCTGAAAAATGAACTTAATTGAACCGTTGAACGATCTTATAATTATAACAATAATATTTCAGATTTTACATTTAATTCATATACCGTAATAGTTAATCGTATATCAGTTTTTAATTTTCAAATATCAACCGCCCCCCTCCCCCAATTCAAATCAGATTTGTCAAGAGAATATTTTTCTAAAAATATTGTATGCATAACATTGATATTGGATTTGATATTTCTGAATCGTAACATCTAAAAATGGTTATGGAATTTATTGTCTTAATCCACTGCAGGTCTACATTCCGTACTTTTATAACTGTTTACGATTTTCAAATAGGTACTCATTGTAGGTAGATATTTAGAGTAGAGGTGAACATTTTTAAATAATTAGTAACTACGTATTATTTCGTAAAAACCTACTGTTACCTCAGCGTTGTCTTCGATGCCTTCGAAAATCGCTTGAATTTGTTTCACCACACGACAACAGAACTCAATACTTTTATGAGATGCACTTCAAACACTACGTATCGACTAAAAAGTATCTAAATATCAAAATTAATGTTATTAGGCTTATGAAAACCGTTTAAAACGAGTAGTCATAGGGTTTTAAGAACTGTAAAAAAAAAAAAAATGACTGGTAAAATGTATACGTAAATTCATATTTATCCGTAAAACTTAGGTAAAAGGTAAATTTTCCGAGCTCACGTCATTATGCGTCAGTTAATTGGAAATTACTGTCGTAGCTGAAAATTCGGATATGACGGTCTCTTAAGGGTCTTCTACACATAGTTAGTTTTCTCTGTCTTTCATACGCGGAAAATAGCAACAAATTCATTTCGCACTTCAACGATTACGTCTCTCTGATTAAGTTTAAGGCAAATGGACCTGTAACAAATTTTATACAAGAGTTTTTACTTTGCTCTGACCAAATAACAACAAAAAATTGTTTATACTTTTTCATTCGTCAATAATAGTTACGAGTATAATGGTTAAAATTAAGAGAAATTAAGTTGAATTAAAACTCGCT